TATTAGGTATATTCTATCATATTAGCTTAGAAGTCTGATTAAGCGAAGTCTAATAAACCCGAGAATTACGAAGATATGTAAAAGCCCGTATGTTGTTAAATGTTAGATTTACCTAGTAAATCTTAGGATTTGATAAACCTAGCATGTACCAAGTTCCGATAGTAAAAGCCTGAAAAGTCGTCTCTTTTTAATAAAATCCCTACATTAACCAACTCATGTTGGTAAATCCTAAGATATACTAGTTAAATCTAAGATTCAACAACATACGGGCTTTTACAGTAAAATATAAGATTTAATTAAAGTAATAGAAAAATAAGAAATATTACCCGGTGGAAGTTTATAGATACATACAAAAGATAATTATTTAGACATACATAAATACAGGATAATGTCTACTCATATAAACATATAAATTGTAAAGTGCGATTCTTTCTTATAAAGGTTAATGTTGCGGTAATTTCGTTTGTTTAAAATATTATAAAAAGATTACTGGCGATTTTAAAACTTAAAAAAACCTTAAGCCTCTTACTGTCTACTAAATGATATATTATATAGATAGATATAACCAAATGTAAAAGACTTTTGCATTTAAATTTTTAATGTCATTTAAAAATCCTGAATGTTGTGCAAATGAGCTTAAAAATGAACCATATATTAAAGCACCAAACTTCATGACCCAATTCGAGGCATCAATTTAATTAATAATAATTATCACAAATTACAATTTAAAAGAGAGCATAAATTGGAAGCGCAAGGGTCAAAATGTAGGGAGACTTCGATGATTAATTAAAAACCTTAATTAAATTTGCGAGGCTATTACTATAATGGACATTTGTAAAAAGTAACATCTGTTAAATTGCTTCTGCGTGACTATATAGATAAACAGCTTTACATAATAACAAATAATATTATATACATTTAAATATTGTTATTTACTTAGGTTAAAGATGTTTCAGAGTATATTGAAGAGCAGCAAACTTAGCGTTCTCCACTGTATTAAAATTACTTGTATTGAATTCAAAGAATTTATGTAATAAAATATATCATTTTATTTCAAAATGTTTACAAGGAATCTAAAATTTTAATGAAAATTTATTCATAATGAAACATATTATCCCTAGAGCACAAACGTGCAATCCTTTTATTTGTATTTTGCTCGTAGGCGTATAATTGCCTTGCCAGTGCACGAATGTGTACAAAACAAATGTAATATAAAAGTTCTTTGGAGAGATGAGGTTTATATTTTATTAAAATTATCGAATATTCCCGCACGAGTTTTAATAGGTATAAGTACTTAGGTGAAATCTAATAATAATATTTAACTACTTGATTAACATTATCAACTAACAGTCAATTTTAATACGACCCTACTAGATTTTAGGGCGACATTTACTGGTCGAGGCCCATTTCTCAGACACGACCCAATTTAATCCCGCATTGTCTATACACTAAATATGCATTGGGACTGGTTAAGGACCTACGTTCCTTACAGATATCTACTATGGCGCCTGGCTCACTTATTCTTTCTTGCATATTATATCATATAATGGATATAATATAATGGATATTTACATATACGCAAGAAAGAATAAGTGAGGAAATGAAAATAACATTAAAATTCATTATTACATACTTAGAGGTTGATATTTTTCTTAACTTAACATAGGTACATTTAATTCGAGTACTTCCTCCATTTTGAAATCAGTCAAAAACTATAACGTGACATGACACTATAACTCTAAGAGTACACCCGAAGGTTTAGATTTTATAAGCAATGAATGTTAGTTAATTTTGTTTATCCCGGCCCATTTCTGAGATATTTTCATAGAATTAATAGTACTCTAAAGCTAGAGGGGAAATAAAATCAGCGATATTAATGTACTGATCGTAATTATTTGAGTTAGAGTATTCTACGCTTACTTATATAATGATGATCAAACTAATAATTATTGTTTAACTACCAGAACACCGCGGTTTCAATCGCGCAAAAAGGTAGGTTTCATAAAAACTTTCATCCCCTATTTTACCCCCTTATGGGATGAATTTCGAAAAATGCTAAAACACGTATTTATTTAATTATATTGAAGAGTATTAATTCCAAGTTTCAATTACTTCTGATCATAAATATTTGGGCTGTATTATAGCGTGTTTCCCGTGGGAATGAGATAATCTTCCAAGGTAAAAGCCTGTGTCACTCTCCAGCCCTCGAATTATCTCCACACAAAAAATCACGCCAATCTATCACTCTATTTCGTCGTGAAAGAAGGATAAACAAACAAACAAACAAACAAACAAACAAACAAACAAACAAACACCCTTTCACTGTTCACATTTATAATATTAGTATGGATAATGGTTTTAATGAACTTAATGAGACGTTTATTTATAATCTGATCTTCTAATTATAACACGTCAGGTAACTTATCAGATAATTATTTATGTATGTAACATACTCGTTTTTCCTGCTTATCTAGACTTGAAAATTATATCATGGTCGTGATGGCGCATCAAGCAAACATATTTTTAATGAACAAAAAATCATTTTAGCATAGACGATCTTATTTGAAAATATAAATATAACATTGTTTTACTTATATACTAGCGGACCCGACAGACGTTGTCCTGTCTACACGTCTTTAATTTGAAAATTTCAAACTTTTTTAATAATTTTTTTGATGAAAATTATTATTCAAATTGTGAATCTAAACCATTCCCAGATCCCCTTGAACACACACAAAAAATTTCATCAAAATCGGTCCAGTTGTTTGAGAGAAGTTCAGTGACATACACACTCACAGAAGAATTATATATATAAAGATATTAAGCTATATATAATGAGGGAAAAAATATTATTTATAGTAATCATAAAATAATTAAAATTCAAAAAAAATGTATATTATATTTCAATTATAAGATTTCTTCTTTAAAAATGACGGCTCGTTTGGCTCAGTTTGTAGTGACCCTACTTGCTGTGGCAGCGGTCGCGGGTTCAAGTCCCGCTAGGGGCATTCACTTGTGTGATGAGCACGAATGTTAGTACTCTAGTCATGGGTGTTTGTATTTATAATATGTATGTATTTAAAGTTATATGTGTAGTGTATCATCTATCCGGTATCCATAACACAAGCCTCGTAGCTTACCGTGGAACTAGAGGCGCTGTGTGTTAATGTCTCAACATAATATTTATTTATTTATTCTTTAAAAATTCTTAGGAACTAACAACAATAAAATGAGAAGTATATGAAATATTTCAGACATATTCTTTATTTGTTTTTTTTTATCTGTGAGGAATCTCAATTTTCTCAAATTCACTGTTTTACCGCAATAGTAGATAGGTACTTGACAACACATTATGTCATAACAAAAAAACATGGCAACTATTGTGTATATCTACGTGCATATTACATTTATAGCCTACATAATTATTCACAAGCTTTCTCGTTTTGTCATGCTTCAAAATTTACTTTATAATTAATATTTTTGTAATTTATAAACTGACGTAATAACAAAATAAAATGTAAATCTCGCACCGCATACTTACGTACTTGAACAACACTTTCACGTTATATTTTATTCAGTAAACAAAGAGTGCCGAGTTATAGCATTACCTGAATATATGTAGATTATGCCTATCCTAATATCAATATATCGCGTACCCCTACACTCTCAAGGGTGAACTTCAACCTTTATCACGTACAACCTTTATTTATTTATAACCCATTAACTTTTTTGTACCTAAATCACCATCATTTATCATAAAATAAAAAGAATCTTGTAATTTCTTCGATTGATTTTACATTGGAGGAAGAAAATTGCCACTGTTTTGTCACAGTTTGCCACAGCTTTGTCACATGCCACATTAGCTCCCTAAAGATTAAACATTTGTCATTCTAAATACTCAGTATTTTTATGAAAATTGTATAAAACCTGGAAAGAAAACTTCCTTGGTACAAGAAAAGTATTAGGTATATATATACCTTTAACCTTAGTCGCTGGAAATTGTTTAAAGATAATTCCTAAACTAAAACATACACATATGCGTATATGACGCTATATACATATAAAAAAATATAAACAGCCGAGTTGAGTTAAAAATATGAGCGCGTGTCACACGTGTAAAAGACCTAAAATGTATGAAAATATTTAGCTGTAAAACTATACCTAACAGGATTTATCACTTAACCAAAATATTTATACAACTTAAAATTTACGTTTAATTTAAGTAGCGTTTCCAATTTTTATTGATATTAGAATAATTTATTAATGGCATATAAATAATTAATAGGAAGTCCTTCACTAAAAAATAAAATTACTCCCAACGTATCAAATAGTTATAAAATTCATTAATGTTCTTTGTTGAAAAGTAATTACCGATGCTTTATAAGGGGATATTTATTTCTAATTTAATAATTGAAAATAAATCCAGGCACAAATAAAATCGAGGGTGACACGAGTATGTAGGTAATAGTTTCAAATGTCAAAAGGTACCTAATCAGTCTATGATTCATAAGATTTCTTACTAATAATACTCGTAATTGTCATTTCTAAGGCCATCCAGAACTACAGACGGACAAAACGTTCAAGAGCTTTTATACAAGCTCTGTACATTTTTGTGTAATTAAAAAGAATAATTAATTTAATGTACATATGACGTATAACAATAGAGCCTTGATGAAAAGCAAATTAAATCAAGTTTATTTTATTACGTACAGGATATGAAGAAACGGTCACGTTTTTTATATTTTTATTGTCTCTATTCACTACCTTATATGAGTGAAGTTTGAAAATATAACTCTGTACCGTAAAATTATTTCAATTTGTTTCATATAAAGAAATAATTTTAGAATTTTTCAAATGCGGAAATTTTTCAGACTTTAAATCTGCGTATCTGATTAATAAATGAAGGTGTCTAAACATAACATTTACCAAATGCCTTTGGTTGTTTAAATTATCGGGAGCTTTGACCTTTTGTTGGGTAAAAAAATGAAAGATTTACTTACAAAAATATAAATCCAATGAGTTAACTGGCTTTCTATAGTCACAACACGATTTTTATACAAAAATGTCAACTTTTCATCCGGCACTGTTTCTTGTGCGGTAAAACATCCGCTCACGTTAGAGGTTCGAAGAGAACTGAGGGCGCCCTCACTAAGAGGGAAGAGGGGCAGAGCCTCCGTACTACGAAACTACATTAATCTTAATCGTCGCTTACTTAGCTAGCGCGTACATCGCCCCTATGCTAGTTACTTTTAAAAGTCGATTGCCAATAATAAAAACAAAACATTTTTTTCGGTTCTTATAATACTTTTCTGATTATACATGAATATAACTAATTTGTACATAGTGTATATATTATTTATTTATTTATCAATATATTAAAGAAAAAATACTCTAGGTAAATACATATAAGAATCATTTGTTGTGTACAAACATCTGACACGTTTAGTTTTAACTTTTAGTATAACGGCTTTAAGCTGTAGGATAAAATTCACCGATACAAATGATCTATTATGATCCACGTTGCAATATCAAATGAAGGTAAATCAAGTTATGTCTAGACATTGATAATGAAATTTTATATTGCTTCGTGATTACCAAGGAAGGTTACTACCTGATATTCAATACAATTAATCTATACTAATGCTCATAATAAAATCATACAGAGGTCATGTCTCTGCTATAAATATTTCATATTATTAAAAATTACTTTTTAAAAACAGAAATATTAAATTAATATATATATATATATATATATATATATATATGTTTATATCACAAGAAATAAAAAGGTTCACCGAGACAAAAGAAAATAACTTCTTGAACATTTATTTTGCAACATCTAATACTTAACTTTATACTTTACTTGCTACAAAACGTATCATAATGTCTATTATACCTTTGCGTTGTTGCTTTTACGTTTGCTAAATAGGTATATTTATGACATACGTGCATATTATATTATGTATGTACATTAAATTATTATAAAGTACACGTGTTTTGATAATTATTTGTTTTTTTTTTAAAGACAAAGTGGCAGATGACTGTTTTAACTTTACTAACATGCTGATTTTATGAACAGTAAACTTAGCATAACAAGTTTTTCAAGATTATCTAGTTTTTTTTTTTAATTTTCTTACTGCTACATATATTCTTTTTGGGCATATGTCGTAGTTTAATATTTTATTTTAAGCTATACATAAATTAACTAAGTATAACTATTTTGAAGTCAGTTTTTATTTCTTTTAAAAAAAAATCATTTTTCCTCTTTTTAGTGTTGATATAGTAAAAGCAAAATAAGAAGAAGGTATTTTAATAAAATATTTAAGCCGTTTAAGTTAATGCCAATTTTTATATGAAAACTGACTGACTAAAATTCGCTTTTATTAGTAACACTGAAAAATCTGGTCCTAAATTCCAATTCTAACGTATTGGGCTTATTAAATTAAACAAAATGAGGCCAAACTCAAAGTATCTACTATTAGGCATTGAAGAGTTCCACCTATCCACCTTCTGGCCCTACCATCAGATCAGGTCGACGATACCGAACCAACAGAAATAGAAACACTTGCAATGTTTCAAGTCAATATACAATTGGAAGTGGGTTAAATTTTCATTAACTATTTTTCAACCCTTAGGGGTTATCACCCCTTTTTTTTCAAATTTAAATGGAACCAAATTGTAAGTCGGCAAACACTTTCAAATAAAATAAAAATTGTTCAAATCGGTTAAAAAATGACGGAGTTCTGAGGTAAAAAACATAAAAAATAAAGTCAGTTGAAAAATAATACAGCCGAATTGAAAGCCTCCTCCTTTTTGAGTCGGTTGAAAAACGAACACAACCGCAAGCACAGGTTAGCTATATATCTATATATAAAGTATAAACTTGCCTAACTTCGCAAATCAAACGAACCTTCTTTAAAATCGATCGCAGCCAAATTCTTAGAAACAAATATACATACATAGGTGCGTACGTTACATTTAGGATATTTTAATTATTTATGTAGATAAGGGGTCGTAATTAAAATTTTAAAATATATAGGTAATATTTTACTTAAACATATTGGTTCAGAATCGTGATATTTACCATATTGATCCCATTTTTATTTAAAATCGGTGCAAAATACAAACACGTCGTACATGAAAATATACCTTCATTTATGGTAGTAATTCGCAAGACTTTGTTATAATTAGGTAGATGTTTGCACACTTTCAGCTTCTATGGCTTTTGGAAATGTTGATTAGCTTCGAATGTATATAATGATTTGAACATTTTAGTATTTTGTCACACAATAAGCAGTTTTTAATAAAATTTTGTTTTATGTTTAATATAATTATAATAATTATAGTGCCTACATTTTGTAAGTATTGTATAAATTTGATCATAATTATATGTATACGAAGGTAAATAAATGCATATATTTTTTTTTGGAATGGATCTCCATCCATTGCGTGAAAAAAAACAACATAACACACCGCCTTCGGATTTGTATTAATATGTCTATCAATAACTAATTTTAAAGCATACTTTGTACCTAGATTGTATATACATTATACATACCTTAATTAATTCCTATAGTAAACAATAATTAATTTTAAAATGACTATCACCCTCTTCAAACTAGCGATATGCCGACTACAGATACAAACGTCAAAACATTATTTAGAAACGAGAATTTATTACTTATGAATAATTCATACCGTTTAATAATTTATGCGGTAATTTATTTTTATCAGGAGTAACCATGGTATTTCAGGCGCGTTTACTTTGCACATATTTAAAATTCTTGTTATATAAGTGCCTTGTACCTACTGCACGACTATAACGTATTATGATTAGATATATAATACTTTCCTTATTTTATTAGAGTAATATAATCTCAAATATATACATATTTTCAATTCAATTCAATTCTTTTATTTCTTGGCTTCTAGGAGTGCCATTTGGGATGTACATATATGTATGTTTTAATCTACTTATGGAAGCTTTACTTCAGTATTGAAAGTTATTATTTAATTGTTTGTAATGTCAAAATAATAGACTTAATAAAAGCATATGAAATTATTTACATACGGTACTTATAAGAAAAAACACAATTTTCAAATTTTTTGTCTGTTTCCCTGTTTGTTCTGGCTAATCTCCGAAACGGCTGGACTGATTTTGACGTGACTTTCCCTGGTAAATAGCTGATGTTATAAGAAGTAACTAAGGCTACTTTTATTATAGAAAAAGATCTATAGATACAGATAAATACAATTGAAGTGTCAGTTTTTAATGTCAAAATAACAGCTTTTTAATAAATACATACATATGAAATTTTATAAGGTACATAAAAGAAAAACAATTTTTAAATTTTTTGTCTGTCTCTCTGTATAGAAAAAGAATTAGGATTCCGCTCAAAAAAATTAAAACGACCTAGTGAAGGTAAATTGCTAATTTAAAACAATATGAAATAATATGCCCAACATTTACTACTATAGTATAGAATAACCGCCCCTCTTATAGCAAAGTATCCACGTTCTACGGGATAACTAGACGGCACAGGATTTATGCTGGGATGAGTTTGTTATGGTCATACAGATGATGACAGACGAACGTGAACTATCCTCGTCCTCATCAAGCATCTGTCATAAACTAACAATAAGAGATATACCATGCACACAGATGTTCTCTGATACATATTTTATATTAAAAGGGTTCTATTAAAAGGGTCCGATTTAAGGTTCAAAACAAAAGTTCTTTCCTAGTGTGATCTTACTTAATCGGTGAACTGTTACGAATATTTATTATACATATTTGTATGTCCTTTGTCGTGGAGAAATCAATCTACATACACTAATTTCCTAAAATGATTTAAAAGCAAAAGATATTTCCCCAAAAAATTGAGTTTTTCTAAACAATAGGGTAAAAAAAATATGCTATTGCATGTATATTAAGAGGACAAAAGCATCGTTGTACGCAAATGCTTTGTTGAAGTATCACCCTCCAGCATACTCTCATACTTCAGCTAACAATGATCGAAGGTCTAGACTTATGAAGATGTCTTTTTACAACATCTATTCATAAAGACCATTTGATATAGGTATAGTTAAAGTACATAAGTATATTTTCTCAGAAAAATACTTAAAATTATTAATTAAGAGTGCTGCATTATAAAAATATTATTGACTAGAATAAAAATACATATACGTATATAGGCGTTTTGTATTTTTTTAACTTCGAAAAGCCTCCGAAAGTCCCTTTATGAACCTATATGAAATGTAAATACTTACTTATACTTTGGATATTGTAGAATTGTTTTATAATTTACAAGCTACGAATAAATAGACCTATTATTTATTCGTAGTTTATAAGTAAGAAGTTTTGAAAGTCATCAAGTTAACAAGGAAATGAAAACCATTGAAACTTTAACTCTTTAGAATACTAAATGCGTCGATCAGGCTATTCACCACAATATCTGATAGCAATTACATCACCATTCACCTAAGTTTAAGCGACCTTGACAGCGGACTGTTCACCGAAACTAATGCTTTCGTCTTACCGACTTAGTAAACAACTTTATAACTTAAAAAACGTAAACGATACGATATCAATTGATAATAATTATATACAGCTAGCTACTCTTGACTTCGCTAGATATAAGATTTTTCAATTTACAATCACGCCTGCTTCTTTATTAAATTTTAAATAAAATTTAAAATTATAAAAAAAAACCAGATAGATTATAAAAAATATTTTAAAGCGTTGCTGTAATATTATACCTGACCCCTGTAAGGAGAATACTCACTATTTAACCAAGATTTGGCTAGAATCTACTTAAGCAGTACAAACAAAGTTATAAGGATCGAACTCACTATCTTCAACGAGTATCAGCGTTGGCATAGAGTCACGATGGTCATCACTCATCAGTTACTGTAAAGCTTTTACATCAAAATGGCGTATGCATACCATCTCGTAGCCGTCACGTCGCGTTAGACAGGCATTAAGAGATTACCATGTTTAGTTTACGTTCGTATAGTTTAGTAACCGGTAGAATAAACGATTGTAATTTCAAATTTATCACGGAGCCAACGTACTAGCAATGTAAGTATATCCACTGGGTTTTACTAAACTTATCTGTAATTATTTAAAGAGGGAAGGAATTTATGTCAACTTATCGTTCATTAGTTTAAATCTAAATCTTTAAAGAAACAAGACAATACCTTTTTAACCGTCTTCCAAAAAGGAAGAGTAGAGACTATATAGTAAATGAAAACTTCCGTTCAGTTATTTATTACTTTTTAGTTTCTGGAAGCCGATTTTTATTTTTCCTTTTTAAAATTTTTCATATTATAAAAGCATAAGTATAGTTATTGTGAAAACATCTTTCACAAAGCAGTAACAATATATATTCAGTTACAAATATAACTTAAGGATCCGTCTAAGTGAAGTAACGGCAAGTCAGTAGTTCACCAAAAAATATATTTTCTCTTACTCACCCTCGCTTTAATTTGGCCTTTACCCTACGCCAACAAAAAATCTTTATTCTGCAAGCCTATGTTACTTTTGCCCAAACTGAAAGAAGATTAGCGCATAGATAGACAAAGTATACTTAGATACAAATGTAACAACGGCGTGCAATTAACGATATAATTATCTAATAATTCTTGTATATTTTTTTTAAATGTTTTTTTGACCAAAAACTCCGAGCGAAGCTCTGATGCCCAGGTGCTGTTCTTAATACGAGGTAGCTATTATAAAATCACACACATACTCTTTAATTTTAAACAGGTAAAATATAGATATATCTTAACATGTATAATTCTTCTGTACGTGTGTTTGTTAACTTACTCCTCCTAAAGGACTGGACTGAAGAATTTTGTTTGTATATTTCAATGGGTTCCTGGATGGTTTGAAAATACAAATGGACTCAGTAGATGGCGCTGCAGTCGGTTTGACACTGACCATCTCCTAAATGGCAGGGACGATTTTAATGATATTTTTGTGTATGTTCGAGTGGGTCCCTGCAAGTTTTGAATTCACAAATGGATCCGGTAGGTGGCGCTGCAGTCGATGTGTCACTAAATTTTCATAAAAGACTCCATTTTCCGAGCAATAAATAAATTTAAATTGTTGATTAAATAAAATAAAAATCGATGTGTGTATGTATGTTTCCTATGGACTCCAAAATAGCTGGAGCGATTTTGATGAAATTTTCAGATAATCTTCAGATTGGCCCAGCGGATGATCCTGTGAATTTTGTTAGCAATCGGAAGTTTGGACGCGGACGAAGCCTCGGGTACTGCTAGTAAAACTATAAAACGGAAAGAATAATAGAATACAGTTTTACACATTTATGAGGTTCTATTTCGGTCGGTAAAGAAAGTATGTTAACATGATTTTTTCTTATGTTATTTAGTATACCTACTTTAACTTTCTATACAAAAAATACGCATTATCCAATGCAATTTATATAAATAGAGTATACATAGAAGAGGGTCATTGACAATAATAGGCATACTTAGGAAGAATACGCGTTCCCCTTTGAGTTTTCTTGAATTATATCTACCGGTTAATGCAATAAATTACATGTTTGACAGGCTGTATCGGGAAATGATATTAAAGAATTCTTCCCTTCCTTCAATTATAACATGGTTTGCGCGTTTCCAACTATATTTGAAGCGTAACTATTTAAATAATGATAACCTTTAATTGTTTATAAGGTTTGTGGATAAGTGCAGTGCCTAAAGTAAATTTTATTTAAAAGCACACTTTTCTCACGTAAATATCTACATGTACTTAAAAAGATACATAAAAATACCACAATAATTTTAATAGGTGACATAATAAATATAACATTATATACATATACATAATTTATTATATTTATTATAATATATAATAAATAAGTATTATATTTTATTGGACGATCTATATAATTTAGATGCGTAAAAATGTTTATTAGAGGTCGCTCAATCCAAGTTATAACCACGTACCTACATATTTCTTATACCCAATCGAACGCCACTTCAGAACAAGTAAACCGACTTACATTAATATGTCCTTCCTTCCCCTAATCGACTTGATATCGATTTTCAAATCCAAAATGCCCTAACTCTATGGCGGGTTTGTTCTTTGCTAAGTTTTAATATTAAACTAGTTTTTGGTCGCGGCTCGGCCGATTATAAATAGTATAGATGCTATATTATATACTACGTCCTACGTCAACTTATTGCTGCATCGAACCTCAAAGGAGTGTTATGTGTTTGACCAGTATGTATGTATGTCCATTCTTATATTCCCTCGTAATCAGTAAACGGCTGAACCAATTTTATTGATTGATATGAAAAAAAACTTCTTCCAAACCTATCAAGTGGTGTATCAAAATGAAGGTCTTTACTTTAGAGATGACCACAAAAATCTTTCTCTTCTTTTTAGTTTGTTTTTAACGCAATCGAGCTTTTTATATTTGGAAAAACAATACATTTTTTTATTCGATAATTTCATAATTTAGGCTGATAATAATCGTTTTAGATCATAAGTAAGTATTTTTAGTTTACATACCACAAAAAACGTATCTTTAATATAAAAAATTAATCAAATTTGTGACAATTCAGACTTTCGCAACCTCCAAGTATGTAATTCGATTTTCAAATTCAAATATTTTATTCAAAATTAAATTATTACATTTTTTTACTGAACGTCACGAATCTTCTACCAGTTCGGAAAGAAGAAGCCTCAGACCTGAAAAGAACTGACGAAAAAAACTTAGCAGAACTAATATTAACTCGTTATGTTTTTTTAACGTTAAATTATAATTTACAATATTTCCATCAATTTCAAGTAGCCTGGAGGCGATCATTTCATTCCCAAGGCGTGCCATCTTCTACAATATAAAATCATTTACTGTATAATAATAGCCTTTCGCACACAAACGTTCTTTAACCATTTTTTTTAATTTGGCGATAGAAGCATTTTGAACATTTTCTGTACAAGCGTATACATTGTCCATAAAAAGAATTACTGACTCTGTGTAGACGATTGTTGAATGGCACCAATACGTATGAGTTTGATCAAACTTCTATTGTACAGAGTACTGGTAATGATTATTATTTACGTTTACACTTTAATTACCAAGTTTTTTAGTTACCAAGAGTGTTAGTTAAAAATACCATAATAGTTCAGCTTTGTGTCCTCTGGGGAACTATCTCGCTATGTCGATGTTTTATGATGTAGGTAAGGTTGGAGCATAGTTTACGATCGCTCACTCAACTTAATAAATTTTAGTTTTACGCGGCAGTTAAACTTGCGACGGGTTTGTTTAGTGAGCAGTGAAGTTTCCAGTTTCTCATAGTTCTTGTTTTTAGCTTTTATATAGTTATATTTCATACAAATGTCTGCCCGCGACTTTACACGCGCGTCTATTTTCATAGAGATCACAGCCACTAGTCAATTGGAACCGCCGCGTCGTTTTATATGAGACCGCGTACTGTCTACATATAACGTGAACCGCAAATTTTGTATCTATTCATATAATTCAAGTGCAATGTAGCTACATTTTGTACCATACTCAAAATGCAATATTCTTTTCTACGTTTTCTCAAACTAGTGACTACTGTGGGAAATAAAATAGTATTTCGGCTCATAATCTATCGCTATGCAAAGAAAACAGTCATGAGGACTGCCGACAGAAGTGAAATCTTAAACCTATAAACAAACAATTTTTGGATATTCAAATTAAATTTTTAATTAATTGATCTTAAATTAAAATTTGTAATTTAAAACTGTTTACATTTATCTGGTTTTGACGTCTATCGGCACTCTGAATGTTAGCGTTAACACGTCACGTGACCATGTCGATGACGACTTACATGAATTTACTCCCCATCCAAACCTGCCTATAGAAGTTTTCACTTCAAAAAGTCGATCCTTACATCCGCTACCACTGAGTTAAGAAGGAGAACAATAAAATATGTACAAACTTAATTATACTTATTGCTTTTATATTTATAAATGTCTTAATGCCAACAGTGATCAGCTATCTTACCTTTTTATTACCTGTTTAGACCACTTAAATTCATGGCAAAAAACCTACTCTCACTTCCTAAAACTAAGAATAATATAACTATTGTTTATATACCTCGGAACACACCGGTGATGTCTTTCGACATCGGATCGAGGGGTGAGTGGTCTGTTGACATATCCTTATCATCCCTACAGTTACCATTATATTTCACTTCAAAAATACCATTCAACCTTACTCCTTAGCTGTTATGGCGCAGACAAACTCCCATATGTGCAGACTTATTGTCTCACAGGGGTGGCTGAGACAACAACGACGAGCCCTTTAAAAAGCGACCGAAATAAACATGAAATAGCTTAGTGATAAAATAGTTGATAAAGTTTTCTGAGATAAGAAATAGTTAAAGAAATATGAGGAAATAAAAAATTAGTTTTATCGTCAAACAAAAATAACTTAATGATTCTAAACGGCAAAAATTACTACAATATGAAAGACTTAGGTACTTAAAATATATGATATTTTTCGTTACTAGTTGAAACGAAATTACCCTTAATTAATAAATGTGGTAAGTATATAAATTATAAATATACTGAAAACCGAAAAGTAGACAGATAGTACCTACGAGATAAATAAAAAATCGGTGAAGTGTGAGTCGAATTCGCACACGAAGGGTTCCGTACCATCGCACATGTACTTTTTATTAATATGACTTTTACTCTATGTATGTAGTATATTAACTTCGATGATCGATTACGAACGTAAAAAAATGATTCTTGTATTTTTATTTTTATTATTTGTTGTTATAGCGGCAATAGAAATACATACTCTATGAAAATTTCAACTCTCTACCTATTACGGTTCATGAGATACAGTCGTCTGACAGACAGACGGATGGACGGACAGCGGAGGCTTAGTAATAGGGTTCCGTTGGCACCCCTCAGCCTAAAAGATAACACAGCCTTAAAAACTAGGCACTTATAGTATGGATGGATATCAAATGACATTAAACACCAGTTTTCTTCGTTAGTTTTCCTCACATTTTCTTTACAAACTTTTTCTTTTTAGTCGCACTCTTAACTTTCAATAAACGAGTCCACTGACAATCCCGTGAGTCTTAAAATGGTTGTAGATTTTTACGTTACTACGAAATTGTGTTATTTTTATGAGGTCATATTCTGAACTTACTTGTGTAGCACGAAGCACTTGAGTAAATTTACAAAGGACATTGTATGTCCTCCATACATAATACTTTGTATATTTTTATGCTTTAAATATTCTTGTGTATTCCATAACAGATACGTCAAATGTAAAAAATATATATTAAATTGAATATTCTTCTTTGAAAGAAATATCCGTGTAACGCGCCATGACAACGTTTTCATATATAAGAATTTGTTTTGCACAGCAGAAGTAGTCAACGTAGCACTTGTCAAAATGTTAGGTACCAAATTATTCTCTGCTTTCATCTTGTTTGTATTGGTAAGTTTTATAATAAATATATTAAAAAAAAGATTTATCAATCTATATATACATATAATAAAAGTGTAACTGATCGGTGGCTGTAGGTACGTGGAAGATATTTGAGAAAAAACTAAAACTTATAAAAATTTTGTCTGTTTGTCTGTGCGTTTGTGCGCGGTAATCTCAGAAACGGTTTAACCGATTTGGGCTCAATTAACATTTACTGAATATTTATTATATTTCAATCGGTTCATAAATAAAAAAGTTATGTAAATTTAAAAAATCACCTAGGGTCGACTTATCATTTACATATGTTAAAATTGGACACGTGATCCTATTACCTAAATAAAGAGAAACAATCTGCACAAATTCATCCTTTAATTTTTTTGTCATATACGTTGAAAAAAGATCAATTTTGTGTGTATTTGCTATAAGGACATAATATATAAATATTTGCTATTGTATGATTTGTACCAGGAAACTATAACGTAAGTACATCGAAATCCTTTTCTATCATACAAGCGTTAAGAGATCTTGCGTACCAGTTTCAAACTTTCTCACAAATATACAGACAGATTTAATATAGTTTTATTTATTTCAGTATAATACACAATATAGACTCCGGGGATACAAATAAAAGCACTAAATAATACAATAATTTTAATATTATGTATAGAAAACCACTTTAACGCCGTTAACGCCGTTATGAGTTATGACAAATCATTCTTCTTTTATTTTATCTTTCATTCTATTCTATTGTTAAAAACATCATACGTCTCTTTTTACTCAAAAAACATCATTTCACTCATACTTATAATTTCGGAAAATTAAATACCAGTTCGCTACTGAAAATTTTATTGTCATGTTTGGTACTACTTCAAATCTTTTTACCTATAGGTATGCGACAGATGACATAATCCATACTAATATTATAAATGTGAAAGTGTGTTTGTTTGTTTGTCCTTCTTTCACGTCGAAACGGAGTGACGTATTAGCGTGAATTTTTGTGTGGAGATAGTTGAAGGGCTGGAGAGTGACATACTTTTTACCGCGCTCTTTCCCACGGGAAAACACGTTATAATACAATCCAAAAAAATATTTATGATCAGAATTACTAGAAACTTGGCATTAATGCTCTTCAATAAAATTAATTAAATATGTGTTTTACCATTTTTCGAAATTCATCCTATAAGGGGGTAAAATAGGGGTTAAAAGATTGTACGAACCCTACCTTTTTAGAGATTTTTTTGTAGTTTTAGCACGAGCGAAGCCGCGGGTTCTGTTAGTATTATTTATAATTATATACCACAGTATAAGTTTCAATGTAAAAATACTTTAATTTTTTATATAAATATTTTATTATTTATCTTATATTCTTATATTTTAAAAGATTACAATAAAAAAAATTATGTATTACCTGCTAATTAACTTATTATTTCAGGTTTTGACCTTGGTGGCAGAAAACGAAGGTATTGTTGCTTTATAAATATTATTTAATTATATTTATTTATGTACCATAAAATATATGTTATACAAAATAAAATAACAAAATGTTGACAAAGGATAACTTATCTCTTTAAGAGATTTCTTCCAGAAACCCTTCAGAAGTGAGAAAATAAGTTAATATAGTGCGGTGTAGGTACAGTACAGCATTAAATAGAATTGACTTAATATTAAAATACATATATTACCTAAATAGTATATTTTCAAGAAAAATCTATATATTGCAACAATTTTCAAACAATTTTTTTACTTTTTCCAGTCGATGCTGCACCAGAACCTTGTAAAGAGTTATTTGATATTATGTTCGCTAAACCAGAAAAGTTAAAGAAACCGAAAGAAGATAAAAAAGATGTACCAGATGACTCAGAAAAACCTAAAAAGGCAAAGAAAAAGCAATTGCAAAAATTAGAAAAAAGTTAGCTATTATCTACTTACTATTTCATGTATGTATTTATATCTAGGCTGTTAGCCCATTTGGAGAACCGGATCTCGCAATCAACTAATATTCGCACCTGATAAGGACTAATTTAATTTTTTACAAGTACAAAAATATTAAAATTAGAGCACAGCGTGCACAAATATTTACTATATAAAATATGTAAGTTTTGAGAGCGTGTACAATCTCTGTACATATATGTATATTTGACGCCTGAATCATGCTCTATTTCCTAGTATGAAGAATACGTTTCCTCCGTAGTGCCACTACTATCACTATAAATTAATTTAAATTTTATGTTTCTATACACTCATATCATAACAACTTTCTCATTTATATTATAAACATATTAGTGAGGTGATTGTTTTCTAAGAAATGTTTATTTTTGTTTCAGTGTTGGAAGCATTGAGTAAGTACAATGTTTTGCGAAAATTTAATAATGCGGTTTATGCGTAAAAAAGTTACAAAACATACCTATTCTAAGCCTTAACGTAACATAATGCTATCCCATACAAAGAATTTCGTCAGCACTAATTCGAGCTATGTATATATTAGAAACAATTTATCTTTAGATACTATAATATTATAAAGAGGTAAAGTTTGTGATTTTGTGAGTTTGTGACGTTGTAGGAGGTAATCTCTGGATCTACTGAACCGATTTAGATGAAATTTGGTAAGAAGGTAGTTTGAGACCGTGGGAAGGGCATAGGATACTTTTTATCCCGGAAATCATCCCTTAAAGAAGTTAAAATGGGGGTTAAAATTTTGTTTTGGGAAGCAAGCTAGGTTCGCTCGTTTGCTAAGCTAGCAAACGAACCCGAGCGTAGCGTAGGTGAGTCGCTAGTAAAAAATAAAAACGCCATCTGTGCATGCGCACAACAAATCACATTAATTAATTGCTGATTTTTCACTAATCAGTAAAATTACGCAAATTTGATTGATTTACAAGCATTATTTCGTTATTCTTTACTTAGAGATTTTATTAAACCATAATATGCCTGTTTGGGATCTTATTTTATTTGCGTAGGTACTTAAGTGATATTGTACCTAATAACTCATCCACTTTGAGTACAGTTTTATTATAATTAATTACTTGCTTGCTTTTTTGCTCTTTAAAATTAGTTAATTAAATTGATTGGTGACACCAACATCAACGACAACATGATGTCAACACCATTTGATGTTGACACTGAACAAACCTTTTTCAGTTATATAGTCTATAAATAATGTAGTATATATATATATATATATATATATATATATATATATATATATATATATATATATATATATATATATATATATATATATATATATATATATAATTTATTTATAATTATTAAAAAAATCTTATAAAAAATAATCTATTTTTGTTAAGTTATATATCCACGTTGAAGTAATATGCTATATATTTACTAGTTGTAGGATGTTTAAATGTGTATGTATAAGCAAAAAGAGCCAGTAAATTAATGTAATGTAACGCCATCTATTGTTGAATAGCAGAGTTTTTTGTAAATATAATTTAAATTATATTATAAAATAATATTTTTAAAGAATAAAAAAAGTAATTAATATTTTTATTTTTATATTTTCAAGCATTTTGTTTCATAAAATATTTTATTTTATATGACACTAGTGCATTGGGAGCAGTACCATAAAAAGGAAAAAGTGGAGATCGAAACAAGTAAAGGAGCAGTTCAGCAACTAGTTGACAGTTATATAAATTTCTTATCATATTTATTGCAATTTTAATGTTTTGCAACAATTAAAAATTTAAAAAAATTTCATTGTTTTTTACATAGTTTAAGGACACACATTTAGTATAGATTTCTCAGAGATGAGATATTTTCCCAGAGTAAAAAGTATTCTATATGTTGAACTGGATAACCAGCTGTCATCATACTAAATTTCATCCAAATCTGTCCAGTGTTTTCTCGTGATGCGTTCCCATACCGACAGACAAAAATTCTAAAAACTATTGTTTCGGCTTCTGTATCAATGATAATGACTAATTCAATAAGATTTTCCAAAAAAACTATTTTATGTACAGATTCGACTTAGAATTTTATTATTTGTATAGATTAGTAAGTATAATTTAGGCCATTGGCGTTAATAACCATAATTAGTGTTTTGTTACACCAGTGTAACAAAACAAGTGTAACCGTGGGTCCGAAGTCAAAAATCTTATTAGACAAGGTTTATAAATGGTGCCATACATATTAAAAATATGTGACCGGCGTAGTACGCCAACGGACGATTTTATGATGATATCTTATGATGATGTTCTCCTAGCCGATTCCGGCCACGGCGGCCAATCTCAATGAGATTAGCCAACTGCGCAGGAGATATTATAGTGCTCAAGTGTACGCGCAGACACAAGTGCACTCTCTATTCCTATCACTCTCATACTCCGGTGAGACGACCACTCGACACGACCGGTGAGAGTTAAGGCGCAGGACCGACGGCTTTACGTGCTCTCCGAGGCACGGGGGTGAACCACCGCCAACTTCCCAACTCCGAGCTGTTACTGAGACTTACTATACAGGAAGACTCAATAACTAAACTTGGCCCGACCCGGGACTCGAACCCAGGACCTCCGGGTGTGCAGCCGTACATGCTAGCCACTACACCACCGAGGCAGGTTATGATATCTTATATAGTAAGGACAAATCCATTATTTTGATATTTGATAATTAATCTGCGACTACATCAAGCTGTCAAGTCTTTGTAAAGTCGACTACTTATTCTCGAGCTGGCGCGATATACGAATCGATGCATCACTGGATAATTTTTGTAGAATTGTATTCATAAACCAGAAATTAATGCAAGTGCTTTGAAATAAGTAATTGTCACATTTATGTAAATAAATTTATTGTATTGTTCTTTTGTATTTATAATATGTTTAGTTACATATGGTTCATAGTAAAATTCATGTGTATTTATTCTATTTATTATTACCAAATGTTATAAGATAAAAAAAACTAAAAAATAAAAGACAAAATTCAAATTATATTAATTTAATCAGACTCATTTCACAAACTGATAACACACTTGTCCGGCCACAACACTACACACACGCAGCGCTGCGACTCAGACGCACATTCACCGACACACAGTGCCGCACATAAATAACATAACTGAGCGCATTATATACAAAAATCAGTACACAGACGCACAACATACGCGTAATTGGAATACAGAGATCTGGACTAGTAAATTAGCTATTTTTGCAACATTTTCATGTCCAACTAGGACTTACTCTTAGATCTAACGATATTACAAGAAATCTTATACAATTTAACATGTATATTTATATATATTTACTTCTCCATATTCTAGTTACGCTTATGACATTGGCCGATAGTATAAAATGGAATATTTCGAGTGACACGCTGTTGATTTTTTAACTAATACGACCGGGTAAATGCGTGACGCACACCGTACCGTTCGGTACTCATTGTCTTTGCACTTGCACTACACGCTTACAGCTCGTCGTGGTCATCCTGTAAACAAAGAACATCAAATAAGAATACATTTATCATTCACATATATAAATAGTTGTAATAATCTTTAAAATTTTAAAACATGTATTTGACTATAACTTAATTTACAGTGTAATATTACTGAACACATTTAGAAAAATATAATAGTATACAAAACTTACTGCAGGAGGTTCTTCCTTCAGTTCATCATCTAAGTCCTCATCGTCTTCATCTTCTGGCTTGTCTGCCTTCTCCTTCTCTCTCTCCGCTTCATCTTGTTCAGCCTTCATCTTCTTCTCACCTTCTATTGTCTTCTTGACTGCCTCTACACGTTCCTTGGCCAGTTCGATATCATCTGTGATGAGGATGTTATCGAAGATGGTACCAGACTTAACTTGCCAAAGGTCCAAACCGACTGCGCAGAGCTCATCGCGTTTGTAAAGGTTCTTGTCTTCAACATATTCTGGGTTGTCAATTTCAGGATGGATCCATTGACCTTTGTATGCTGGATTGTCAATCTGTAAAAAAAATGTTATTGATAGTAAAGTTTGAGGTACTTTGAAACAACAAATTAATATTCTTAACTTATAATCCTTAGAAAACACTTTCAAATTAATAAAAACTTATTTAATTCATGACATATATAACAATATTCGTATTATAACAGTTATGTCAAAAGGCAGACAGAAGACATTATCACTTGCAAAATAGCAATTGATAGGCGCGAAAAGTATTACTTGGTTTCCGAATATTATAAAGCAATTATTACCGTATTATAATTTATATATCATAATTGTTATAACGTATTTTTAAATTTAAGCATAAAAATTAAAAAGTAAATGTTATAAATGGCAACGACCGCGAAACGTACTATATTTGTTGAAAATATTACACCACCGAATTAGACGTCGAAAGTTAAACATAACGGCGTGCGGTTATTGAACTTAGAGCCACTAACAAGTCACTAGACGATGTAGGTACTTTAAGAATTAGCATTGTTGTTCCATCATACATTGATGAATCACGTGAAAGTGTTAATTTTTTGTATGGAAATTTTCTTATATGACTCTATCCAGTTGGTTTAAAAGTCAATATGTTCCTACTGAGCTTTCTCATCTTATGGAAATTAAAAGATAACTTAATTATTTCAGTAAAAGAATACAGTAACCACATTATTTTTATATAACATTGTCTTATTAAAAGAATAAGAAAGCCCACTCATTTAAACTAAGAGCGAGATTGGTCTAGTATATGTCATTTATCACATTATCTTTTAAATCTATTAAACAATAAAAAGTAAAAATCTATACAAATTAACCAATACAAAAATATAAAATCCAATTATGTAAAATAAAACAACTAGGTAACAACCAACCTGCTTAGGAGCCCAAACACCCTTGTACTCAGGGTTATCAATCATGGGTGGTTCCCACTCTCCATCCATCTCATCGTCCCAGTCCTCAGGCTTGGTGGCATCAGGGTCAGGGATGTGCTCAGGTTTGTCCCAATCTTCGGGTTTGGTGTCATCTGGGTCAGGAATCTGGGCACGGTCATCCCAATCCTCTGGCTTTGTGGCTTCAGGATCCTGCAAAATAGTTTGCTTTTACTTACTGTATCCATATATTTATTACTTTAGTAATATAAATATATAGTGACATATAGATAAAGAAAACAAGGTGAATAAATATGTATGGTATAACTATTACCTTATAAGTGATCTTTTTTCTTACTCTTACTCCCTATGATAGCAATAGAGGGAAAATTTGTACCAGTTTTTTAACAAATTAAAATATTTCTGTCAAAACTGGTTTAATTTGAATCCAATAAACAAGTTTATCAACATCAACAATTCTTAAGCCATTATAATATGATAAGACAATTTTGTTTATTACTTGCAAATATACTTTATGGCTAATGCTAAATGAATTTATTACAATGAAGTCTGAATGAATCTAAATGAATTTATTACAATGAGAAGTATTTTAAAAATCATCTATTCCTGTATACCAATAATTAACCTGATAATTTAAACCTTATAATGTATAGTTTAACTAACCTTGATCTTCTTGGGGGGAAGGAAGTCCCAGTCAGCCTCGAGGTCTCCAGACTCAACCACTTCATTATCAATGAGAACTTGGTATTTATTGTCTGGTTTCACAACCAAAGTATAGACGTGGGTGTACACATCATCCTTGCAACGGATTTCTTTCTTGATCAGATGGTTTTTGCCCTTGTAGCTGAAGATTACATGGACCTAGGGACAAAAGGATTATGGGGTTAATAGGTTCGTTGCATACTGAAATATGTACATGTATACATATACATATTATATAAAATTCCCGTGTCACAATGTTAGTCTGCAATGAACTCTGAAACTACTTATTTGATCTTAACATATTTTTTTTTAAATGTGTGATTTGTTCCAACTTAAAAGATAAAAATATGTGTGCTACATACAACAAAACTTGACTGGGTCTTCTAGTGGAGATATAAAGTTAAAATTATGAAAAGAAGAACCTATTGTCTAATATGTTATGAAGTAATTGACACACCTAATAAAAATTAAAAAATATCACATTTGTAGGTAAAACCTATATACTTTTAAAAGTAATATATAATTTTATAAGTAATATATAATTTTATAAGTTACCATGCTCAATATATCTCATAGGAAATTAATACATAGACCACTTTATGGGCATGGACTGTGATAAGGATAAGTAATCTTTACAACTGCAAAGATAACCATTTATATTTTATAGTGTCACTTTTTTTCAGCATAATGATTATGTGTTTCTATAAAAAATATCATTAGTTAAAATGAGATTATCTACATTCATTAATTAATAGGTTATTATTGTATAAAATAAGGAAATCTGATAAATAGCTAATTAATAATTATTATTAATTAGTCCACTTGCACTTCATTCCTAATTTGATAAAAATGTATTTACCTATTAGTTAATAAACAAAGTACCTAAGTTTCCAAAAAATGTAAAATAGAAGATGAGATATTAGATGTGGTATATTTGTAACAAGCATCATTTCAATAAATTTTATCATTACTAATTTTATTTCAGTTTAACATTAGAAATAAATTGTATATAAAATAAATTTATTAATATGAAATAAAATCTGATAAATAACTGAAATTGCACTGTTTCTAATCAAACGTAACCAATCCAATGTAATTTTTAAATATAAGTTATGTAAATATAATTTTTTACACATATATTCATATAAGATTAAGAAAACCAAATGTTTATTATTCATTTATTATTCAATTTAAATAATAATTTATTTTTATTCTCTTGCATTTTGCTTTCTGTGTGAAAGCAATATATATTGAAGTTTCTAAAATATGATTGTTGGTAAGACTTATAAATATAAAAAGTGTTATTTCCCTAGCTTCTCTTGTTTATGAGGGCGAGGGGCAATATGTTCTCTCACTTTAAAACTTTTTCAGTGAAAAAGTTATTGTGGCTCTTAATTTGGCTTTTTCAAATTTTAAACAAAACTGTTTTGAAATATTCATTAATAATAAAATGTATGCATAAATAGCAAATTTTAAAGTAAACTTAGTAGTAAAAATATTATTCTTACTGTGTTAAAATAAAATAAAAGTTTTCCTAGCAAATATAGCCTTTTTCTGTTTAACAATACATTTTCATGACAATATCATATTCCCAGTAGAATAGTCTACTGATATGGATCTCAATGCCAATAGAGCATGCAACGTTTTCTAATGTAAATAGAACTATTAGCTGCATAAATGTATGTGGAAATTGCTGTTTCCTATTATAATTATTACTTTACTATTTTAATTTTAAATACCAGACTTACTTCCTTCCTATCTTTAAAACCACCACTTTAGGTTGAAGGACTGTGATCATAGTAATTAATTTCAAAAAAAAACTTGAGATATAATATAGAAAGTAGATAGTTGTCATACAAGTCCAAAAAAAGTTAAATCATAAGTGCCCATATCTGTAATAGTGACATAATGCTATACAACCAGTTATATGCTTACTTTTACTTAGGTGTTCATAAATTAAATATCAAGTAGTCTTTTAACTACATTTTTTTTATATATTAAAACTCACCTTCTTAGTTCCAGGGCCGCAAATGTCAGGACCAAACATAATTTCATATGGAGACTCTCCATGCATATCTTTTTGGTTCAATTCACAGTTGAATACTTTCAAGTAACCACCTCCACAGTCAATATCTTGCTCATGTTTAACTGAGAACTGAACGACGAGGTCCTTGCCTTCATTAGAGAAGGGCTGGAATTTGTGGGATAGAGCATAAAATCTCGCATCTTCTGAAGTTTGTAAACCTGATAATAAAGAAATTTGCTATTAGATTCAGAATTAATGTTTACGTTATCGCGATTAATTAACTATAATAGATATCGGAAGATCATTTCAAAAGTCGAAACGTGGATCTACTATGACACGTTTACATTTTACGATATTTTATATTGTCATGTACAGTTTCAGTATAATCGTAGAATTGTTTAGTGATAAAAATAGTTTTTAGACTAGAAAGGCGTGTTCAATGTACGTACCTTTATCTTCCTCCGGGTCGTTGAAGAACTTTCCAGCGGTCAGCTTAAATTTGCCGAATTCTTTGCCGGGATGTTCACTATACACCCAATTGGATTCCCAAGAATCTAGAAAGGGAAATGCTTATTAGACTAAATAGTACTAAAATAAAAAAGAAGCCGGCATTCAAAAATCATTAATCGTAACGCCGGTATGATGCTTAAATACATTTAACATAAACTTACCATCGGGGAACTTTTCATCTAAATATACATCACAATTAACTGAATATAATGCCAGCAAGCTAGCAAAAGCTAACACTAAAGATTTCATTTTGAAAAACCGCACCACCTTCTATAGCAAAAGACTGGCCACGAATAACTGAAAAATTTGGCGAGGCTACTGTTATTTAATTTTTAGCGGCTAATTGCGTTGTACTTATGTTTCATTCACTCTTATGGACAACTTCTAAGCTAAAAAGAGAAAGATATAGCTACTAGGAAATATAAGACAGAGATGTAAATAAGCTGAATCCTAAAGAGTGAGAGTGACATAAAATATAAAGCCTTGGAAAATGACGTCGTATTACGCAGACAGATGGAAGGATTTCATTGGTCAACGTTAGCAAATAGAAATTGAACACACGCTCTTTAAATTACCTTTGGTCATGGCGGTAAAATATGAATTTTCCACTCTATAGTATTAAAAATATTTACTTTTTATTCTGACCAAAAAAGATGTAAAATTATGAACGACATGTAATATTAATTTATTTTGTAAAAGTACTTATTAACTTTTGTGATTAATCATAAAAAAATAAATGATTTTTAATACAGTTCATTAATCCAGAAAGTTCGCACTTTGCCATCAACCGAACAGCCAATCATAATTACACATGACATAGAGAGAGACAGACACTAAGTTATCTTTTGTGAGTAACAGAGATAAACAATCATATATACGTGGACGAGACCTATGAATAGAATAAATTGAATTAAAAACTTAAAACATTTTGTTTTACGTACGTAATACAATATTTGGTACTTATAAAATACCTATTAATACTATTTCAAAATAAAAAAATAGTTTTCTGTACTAAGTACCTACTTACATTATTGTATAATTTTTATAAAATTATGGGTACATAATATTAAAAAAGCCCGTACTTTAAACTTAATAGAATACTCTATCTTAAAACATGGGTAATAGTAACTTTGGGTTTTTGGGGGATACTTCTATAACGGTAATATTACATTACCGTGCTTCTATTGTTGAGGACTAAGAAATAACATGAGCTATTTTTAATTAAAAAAAATATAGGTATATAGCAAGTAGTATGTATGTATTCAGCCCTTTTTACCGTCCCACTGCTGGGTACGGGCCTCCCTTCAATACGAGGAGGGTCAGGCCATAGTCCACCACGCTGGCCAAGTGCGGGTTGGCGGACTTCAGATGTCTTTCGAAAACTTGCTAGGTTTTCTCAGACATGCAGGTTTCTTCACGATGTTTTCCTTCACCGTAAGGCAAGTCGTAATCATGTTAGAAATGAATCGCAAATGAAAATATCAAGACGTGAGACCCGGGATTTGAACCCGCTTCACTCGGTTTTCCAATCGAGCGCGTTACCACTGGGCCAGCACCGCCAGCAAATAGTACTGGTTGTTACGTTAATTATAATGGAGCGCAGCACGCTTGAAATTGTAATATAATATTAATCCTAATTAGCTATTTTTAATAAAAAAAATCTTGATGTCTAATAGATTAAATAGAGATCATATCATTTTATGTATCTACGAGTATATACAATGGTAATATAAAATTTAAAATGTGTTACATTGCAAATAAGAATAAAAATACATAATAATAGAAACGAATATTACGTAATAGAATTAAAATTCATTAATTGTGTAAAATGAAATAGCTTTATTCGAGCTAAAAACATTTTTTTATCATAATATATTGATTTAGGCGATATTGAGAACCTTTTTAACTTCATCGATCAAAAATACTTTTTTCATTGATGGGTGACTTACTTTAAGCTTTTTTTTATAAATTACTGCAACTGCCACTGGTAACTTATGCGCAAAATAATAATACGTAATAACTATTACGCTATATACAGATTACAGATATCCCTGATCCTAGATCCCTAACATAAAGGGGAGATTAGTCTAAAACCGGGTATGGGAGTAAAACCGGGACACGGCACTAAAGCTTTCTAATGTGTTTCAAATTTTCGAGTGCTTCTTATATTCATTCCTTGCAGTCAGTCATCTTGAATAGTTTATCAACAAAAGTTAGATGAAATGCGTGCCCGTTGGAAATATTTCAGAAAACAGTTTTTACGGAGGTACGATATAATATTACTATTAAACGGATTTCGAAGGTGTTCTTTAATCTCGTATGTCAAGGTAAGTGGAATTTGTTTTTGTTGTAAATATGAAGTGCGCTAAACGAACATTTGTTGAATCTTTATTGCAAAATATTTTAAGTTATTTAATTACTTTGTTTCTCTCTAGTGCTCTTGGGGTAAAACCGTACGGAGTACCAAATACCGGGTGATACCCGGTTTTATACCACTATCATCCATTTTTTTTATTTAATGTTATTTTGAATGATAAATTGTTACAGTTCACAACAAAATGCCACGAAATTAAAAAAAAACGAATAATCGACAATCCTGAAGTGAAGAAATTAATTAAAATGTCATTTTAGAGGTAATAGACGTACTTAATTAATTAAGTACACACATTAATGTGAATATCGTCTCGCTTCTCGAAAAAAAAAAAGAAAGATTCGGACAAGTGATGATTGAGGGCAAGGAATGGGCCAATGACGGCTGTACTGGTTGGACCGAGATGAACTGGATGAATTCCATTGCTTTGTTGAGGGGCAAAGTCGGGTATAAAAAATGGGTATACCCGGTTTTGGACCAGGTATGGGACAAAACCGTAAAAAAATAATTTTTGAAAAGATCTTTTTTTATATTACTTACAATAATAAAACAGTGGTATTGTTGAACAAATATGTAATTAATACGTAAACGAAGTCTTATAAAGTTGATTTCTAATGTTTGAAATATTTTTTTATTTAATATTTCCCTTAGCGTTCCTTTTTACCTCAATTTCTCATAATGTTAAATGACTTATAATTAGTTTTTTAGTACCTATAAAACAAACACTTTTAGGAAATAAGTATATACCTACATATTATTATAACGATAAGTGTTTCGTGTTTTTACATGATAATAAAACGAGTTTAAAATGCATACTTACTAAATAAGATAGTTCTATGTCGTCAGTCACGTTATCTCTTGTTCGACACATGAAAAACCATTTGTCTTATTGTTAATGTATATTTTCGTATACAAATATAGAACAGATACGTACATTAGAAAAACAATTAAAAATAACATGTAAACCGATTTAACCAACGCACTAGACAAAAATAGAAAACCCAACTGCGTAAAAAGAAAATTAAAAAAATGGGAACAAGTTCACGAAGGAAAATAGTATTATGAAATCGGAGACATAAATAATTAGGTCATCTCGCAGTAAATATAACGGCAGTCGGTTTTTTTTTGTATATTTTATTTTTAGGATCGGACAAACATACTTACATACATGTACAGGTCAAACACAAAGCTCACCTTTGAGCTTCGCCGCAGTCGGGTAAAAAGCATCACGCGTTAGCTGACACTGACTCCAAAAATAATAAAAACATCGTTAATTTTTTTTTATAATTTTCATTTCGTTGAATTCAATATAAAAATACTTATCTTGTTCATTTTTATAAAAGGCGTAATTTGATTTAAATATCTCTACATTTGCTATGTAGCGCTATTTAAATCAAATTACCTATTTCTTCAAAGCAATTAAAGTTAAGCTTGACATTAATTATTCTCATAACCACAACATTATCTACAAACAGCACATCAACACACACTAATTAATATTTCTTATTATCTAATAATTTAATATTATGTATCTGTACATTAAATATTTTTTGGTTAATCTTATCGAAATAGTCATTATTATCGATACAGAGGCAGAATCTAGTTTTTAGAATTTTAGTCTGTCTGTCTGGGAACGCATCACGAAAAAACCACTGGACAGATATTGATGAAATTTGGTATGATGGTATCTGGTACGAAAAAGACAAAAAAGAGTGGTGTTATAGGTTTCTTGTTTGTATATGTGTGGTATGTCTGTCTGTAGTATGGCTTCGTATTGCTCAAATGCGTGCATCCGAGTGCAGTTTGTTTTAATTGAAAGCTTTCACTGTTAAAATCAAAGTTAGCTATGTTTAAGGAACGTTGGACCAGGCATTGACTAGTAATACAAGCTTGTAAAAAATAGCAAGTAATAAACCCTAAGTTTTCAGAGCTTAAACTCGCTTGAATACAATGATACATGTGATTACACTTCAAATTTCGCAAAGTAACTGACATAAATTAGTATGAAGCATCACGCTCAGAGCGACATGCATGTACATTATAATTTACCCATCTTTCTAAGTAATAGAAACTCCACTATGAAACTTTTAGTGTTTTTTAATAATACTATAGTATAGGCTATATTTGGGTGTAAAAAAAATTAAAAAAAAATGGTCGAAGTGATCAAAAAATTGTTTTGATATTTTCACTTCCGGTTTAGTACACAATTTTTTTTTAAATTTCAAAAAATTATTTCTTTATTATAATGAGCAACTAATAACCTATACAAAACACCAAGTTTAATAGTTGTTTGTATTTTTTCCCCATTTGAAAAACTAAATCTAAAACATCGACATTTGGATTATGATTATTTTTCAAAGGCCCATAATTTTAAAAATAAACATCGTAGAAAAAAAATATTACGTTTCCACTTTCATACCTACTAGAGGTATAAATAACCCGCATATGATCAAATTTCCTAACCTCACTTTTTTTTTCCTGTCCGCTTCATATGAAATGCCCCATATATTAAACTTTTATTGTTATATATATAAAGAATTATATAAAGAAAGAATTATAGAAATATATAAAGAATGTAATTTTTCGTGAGATTAAATAAACTGAGGTTTAGTTACTAATTCCATATTGGATTAGTCTTGTTTTAGAAAATCCATGATTCAAAACTTCAAATTTTGAAAAATTCTATTATTTTGATACTTAATTAATAAAACAATTACAAGTTTCAAAATACTTTTAATTACGAATAATTATTTTTTAACACTTGTAACAATAGCTTGATCCATTAAATTTGATAATTCAATGGCTTTTTTATCATCTCTGGCACGTTTTTTCTTATCCTTTTTAAATTGCATTTTCCTCATTTTATTCTGCTTAGTGTTGCCATCTAATGTAGTACTAATATCTACATCGACTTTTTTACTTGTTTTTGTCATTTTTGGTGCAATATTTAACGTTTTAGGTAGAAGGTTAGACTCATCTTCATCAACTTGCATGTCATCAGCCACTTCAACTGGACCTGTGCTTGTAATCTGTAATAAAATTATAATTGTCAAATGCCGGAAAAAAAATCCTTGAATTATCAGTACGATTTAAAAGATAATGATGCATTTTACTGTGTATTTAAGAAGCAAGTTAAAGCCTATTTAGTCTCAAGGTCCAAAAGAGGAGCGATATTACACAATAAAATATGTGGACCAAACTACAAGCGACTTTACTTAGTGGGGATAATAAACAAACTTAAGCGTGGATATTAATATATGCATGTTTAATATTAATAAATTATAATTTCTTAAACAAAATAGTGAACAAAACTTCACGCATTATTTATAACTACACTGAAAAATATGACATTAATAAATGTTGACAAAAAACTTATGATTAGTTGCAACAAACTGATTTGATTAACTATAAAATCTACTTTAAAATACAGTTAATATATATATTACTGTAAAGCTAGGAATTTACAACTGTGGCAGACATTAAAATTAAAACACAATTTACATACATATCAATTATAGTATTACTTCTTAGAATAATTATGTACGAGTATAATCTATACAGATAACTAAAATTGGAGCGTCTTTTTTTAATGTCAAAATAACAGCTTTTAACTAAATGTGTAGGTATGAAGGTATATGTATATACGGTACTTATTCGAAAACACCCATTTTTAAATTTTTTGTCCATCTGTTTGTTCCGGCATATCTCCGAAACGGCTGCACCGATTTTGACGGGACTTTCACTGACAGATAGCTGATGTTATATATAGGAGTAAATTAGGCTACTTTTACTTTAAAAAAAGAATCAAGGTTCCACGCAAAAAAATTAAAACTCATGAATTGTGACTGTAATCCGCGTACCTACGGGACGTACCCGAGCGAAGCTAGGGTAAATCGCTAGTTAAAGCATCAGTATCATCTATACTAATATTATAAAGAGATTAAGTTTGTGAGGTTGTAGGGGGTAATATCTGGATCTACTGAACCGATTTAGATGAAATTTGGTAAAAAGATAGTTTGAGACCCTAGGAAGGACATAGGATACTTTTTATCCCGGAAATCATCCCTTAAGGGAATGAAAATGGGGAATCAAGTTTGTTGTTTCTATTTTCCCAATATAATTATTACGAATAGAAACTCATTGTTACCTTAATGGCATCGTCTGCGTCGTTGATCCCTAACGTATCGATGGTTTCAGCTTCCATCGCCTCGAAGGCGTTGATATCGAAATCCGGGGCCCAACCCGATACGATTTTCGCGTCCAGGTGTACTTTTTCCTCTGATATTTCTGGAGGCTCAGTGTAGTAGCGAACCTAGAACAGTTTAAAAATAATACATATAATTTTATTTCATAAGAAAGTAAAAAGAAAACACATGAGCTCAAACTTTCAATCACACTATAAAAAAATCCTAATTATTATATATTATAAAGTCGCCCGCTATGCAGTTTGTTTGTTAAGGCTTATCACAGAAACTACTGGTTTTTATTATTAAGGTTTTCAATAATAGACAAAGACATATTCTACAATATTCTTTTGCGAAAATAAGCTACTAGGTAAATGATATTTTTGAATTGCGATGAAGAATATCGTACATTTTTAGAGCTTCTGTAATAATTATAATGTGAAGGACATCTAGGGACAATCGTTTCAAGTATTTAACGAAAATCCTTCTAAAATAACCATAGCAAAGTTACATGAGTGAAATATAAAGAAATAAAATAGGATTTAACATGATGTAAAATAAATCTCTATTACCTTCCCAGTATTCCAGTCGTTAAGTAATATTCTTGCGGCAGCCTCCTGGTCCGGAACACCGCCTTTCTTAAACCTGCCCATACGAGATGCGACACTTGCGAAGAATTCCTGCAAATGTTTCTCTTATACATAATATGTTATATGCACAATGTACATGTAGCCCGGTCGGGTTAGCATTGAACCCCAAAAATATCTACGCCAAAATTTTATAATAAATATGTTGGGACATTAACACACAGCACCATCTAGTTCCATAGTAAGCTACGAGGCTTGTGTTAAGGATAACAAATAGTTGATACACTACCCATATATAACTTTAACATGTATACTAATATTATAAAGACTAGTATGTAGATGTAGTAGACTCTTGACGTTAAGTAAAAAATTGTAATAATTTAATGCTGAATAAAATATTTTGAATTTGAATTGAATTTGAAAAAGGTAAAGTTTCTGAGTTTGTAAAGTTGTAGGGGGTAATCTCTGGACCGATTTAGATGAAATTTGGTAAAAAGATAGTTTGATGTCCTGGGAAAGTCATTGGATACTTTTTGTCGCGGAAATCATCCCTTAAGAGGGTGAAAATGGGGATGAAAGTTTGTATGGGGAATGCTAGTGAGTCGCTAGTATGTTATAGGCATAATGTACATGTAGCCCAGTCGGGTTAGCATTGAACCTCGAAAAAATTTAAGATCAAAATTTTATTTTACCAGCCTTAACGGCCGCGTCACTAGGAGTGTAAATTCAAAATCTCAAGCAGTCGAGCGATGCGTTAGGCGACATCTTGATTTTAAGGGGAAAATGTTTTTCAAAATTTTTAAAATTTATTTGTAGTTGTTATATAATAACATAATAGTTTCTTTGCAAATTAGGTAAATAAGCAAATCTAAAATTATATGTATAATCCTAAAGAATATCATATTTTAAATATTTTAGAAAACTTACTTGAGGAGTATTAAACTCGGGTATACAATACAATGACACTAAAGTATGTTTGTGAGCTCTTTTCAAAATGGCGGTGGCTGGAGTCACTGGGTCTTTCAAGCTGCCAACTCGTAAAGCATTTTTGAGGGCTACAGAGGCATCATTGCCAGACCCTGAGTGAAAAACTATGCCAGGACTGTCCAAGATTTTAATCTTGGAGTCTAGTTGAACTGTTTGCATCTGTCTGTGGAAATAAAATATTTCTGTTAATTTTTTCATAGGTAATGCAATATGAAATATCAAACCATACAAATAATAAAATAGTAACGAACCAATATCTATATATGGTTTTTTCTTTAAAACAGTGACTGTTACATATTGTGTACAGAATAAAGACCAGAAAATAATAGTAGTAATTTTTGTTTGTTTCACGCAAAAAGTGGAAAACGGATTTTAGCTATATTTTGTTGTAGGATTGTTGTAGGGACTATGTTGTAGGAATACCTTATAACTCGAGTCAGTATTTATGATACCTTTAATTACAGGAAAATCTCTCATTCCCATAGGAAAACACAATAACTGATTTAGCTGAGTTGACTTTCATAGAAAAATCTCAATGATTTTTACTCAAAACCATTAGTGGGAGGGTTAATAATTAATAATCTGCCTCCTAAAGTCCACTTACAATAATTTATTTTTATTTTTTATCTATATAAATATGTTTATATAGATATATAATATGTTATGTGCTAGGTATGCCTAGTGATGTAAGCCGCTTGTATTAAATAAATAATAGATTTAATTTTTAAAGTATTTGTTTTTGTTAAAACAAGGTTTATAGCATTAATTCTTACAGTATTTTAAATGAAAAAACAGAAAATTGAGCTGGAGTAAAACACAATATAAATAATAAATTCTAAACTTACTTAGTAACACCAGGAGTACTACCAACGTTACAGGCCTTAGATCTATTCAAACTATTGATTATAGAACTTTTTCCTACATTGGGTAACCCTACTACACCCACAGTTATAGCTGTTTTTATGCCTTGATTACGGCAATAGTTCCCGAGAAGACTCATTAAAAGTTCTGCTCCTACACATGCTGAACCTGAAAATAAAATTGATCTGTTATGTAGAAAAACGTGTAATTGTACTTATGTATGCACGTAAGAAGTTATACTTCTTTGGCGTAACAAAACAAAAATAGCTAAAGATTTCATCCCATATGTCACAACTCTGTTTGTAAAAGGAATACAGCTAACTTCATCATGTCGCTTTTTTGGCTGTTGATGTGCGAGCGCATTGTAAAAATTTTACTCTTAATTCTCTTCTTATAATTTTTTCCAAACGTCCCAAAAGAAGTATAACTTCAATAACTTTAAGGAATATGTATTTAAATGATTTTTGTGTATGAAGTATATTTGTGCATATTGCAAAAAAATACTTATATGGTTTTTCTATGCCAAATTTACATTTAAATTGAAACATGTGTTCATATAAACAACATTTTCACCATAAAACATTTTTTAAATACTGGAGTTTTAACTTTAATGAATTATAGTATCTGAGAAAATAAAAACTATCCAATAACTTTTAGCCCAATTTTATATCAAAGAGATCTGTAGTGGTTGCGAGTTTAATACTTGTATACAACAAATATAAATGTTGGTCATGCAAGCAGTTGCCATGACTTGATCATTAGTGGTTTAAAATTATGTTTGGATTTCCAATATATTGAAAATCACAAATCCACCATGTCTGATGTGTTTATGAATATACTAACCTTTCATTTCTTTTTCTTTAACAATATGCTTCATCTTCCGCCTCCCAAGGTTATGCTGCTGGTCCTGTGTGGAAGCCTTAAATGGAACAGCTGGGGCTGATCTACGAAGATACTTAAGCCAGGCTGTTAAATTGTCACGAGGAACTAAATCAGCCTTGTTTAAGACAAGAACTAGCTTTTTTCCAGATTCTCTAACTGCCTCTTCTACTTGGACGCATCTTGTGCCTAATAATTACATTTTTTTTAAATAGATATTTAATAGTCATATACTATAAAGTAATTGCTCAAAGAAAAATTGGAGAAAGGAGTTCTAGAATATAAAATATGTACTGACAACATTATAGTAATTATGCAGTTATGTGATGTGATATAAAACCTTAAAAAATTGAATTTAATTGCACTTATAAAAATATTATATAAGTGTGAATATTTTTACTAGAACTAACAAAACAATAAAAGATAAATAAATTATTCTTTGTTACCTAATGGATCTCTGGCATCTACAATTTCCAATATAACTTCAGCTTCTGAAATTACTTTTTTGAATTCTTTATAATAAGCCTTCAGTGAGTTTTCTTGCTGTCTATCTTTACCAAACTTAATTTCATCACTTTGACTCTCATTATCTTTGAATGCTTCATGAACTTTACCTCTTGCCTGTGCATTTTTTACCTAAAATATTTTTTAGAATAGTATAAAAACAATATTTTAATATTTTAATAGAGTAATAATCTTTGTCTAGGGCTACTTATACAAAGAAAATACTTGCATTCAGTTTAGATAATAAATCAAAGCTGCAGGCAGAATAAAATTGCAAAATGCAATAGTGTATATGTGATCACATTAACTTACCAAAGTATCCATACTAACAGATGGTTTATCAGCTTTCTCTTCTAATTTCTTTTGTTTATCTAATTTTGCTTGTTCTCTTTTCTTCTGTCTTTCTTCTTCTTTATGTTTTTTAACTGCTTCAACTTCTTTCAATATATCTTCTTTAAAAGGGCAAACATTGGGTATTTGAATGGGTTTGGTTTTTTTAGATTTAGGATTCTTTTTTGCTTCTTTCTTTATTTTTCTATTATGTTCTCTAACTTTTTTCTCAATCTTATATCGAAGGCGAGCAGGCTGTCTCTTAGATGGCTTTTCTGTTTTAAAAATAATATAAATAATTATACAAGAAATAAACCTAAATAATGTTATATCTATAATAATGATCTAAATTAGAAAACGGAAGATTTGTACACATTTTTGAATAAGTGAAAAATCTAATTTCCTGAGACAACTACAACCATTTATAGGAACAAAGTATTAAATAAATGAATTATTTTCGTTGTAAAATATAATGTAATATTTATCTATAATTTAATCGGTTAGGCAGTATACTTAATGCAAATTGTGATACACTTTATAAATCCTAACCTATAAATTAATTTGTGTTTTCAATTCTTTGATTTGATTCTATGATTATATTACAATATTGTTACAATATAAACAAAGATAAAATAAACTTATTATACATAATTTATTTAAAAAATGTATTTATCTTTCTTCTTCAGTTACAAAAGAGGTAAGATTAAATTTAAAAACACGCTTTTATTTTTTGTAATACAAAATAACATTAGTCTTATATGATCCAAAACTTACTCAATTTAAACTTAGCCATGTTTAATCAATTAAAACTTTATTGTAATAAATAATAAGTAAATAAAACACTATATTTAATCGTAACGTCGTTATAAATATAACTTTAAAAACAGAACCGCATTACGAATTGTACAAAGTACATTATGACATATGACACTTAGACAAGTGTCAATGTCAATTTATTCACATGTGCGTTCTAATTTAGTTACCATTAGTAAAAATGAGAGCTATTGTTTGTTTATATTCATAAGGACAAAGCTAGGCGCTAGCACACGAGTCCGACCAACTATCGGATTTCGTCTGCTCTTTTTCGTATGCGCACTATGTCGGTTGGCTCCAGATATTTTGTCACGTAATGGCATTGAATTTCAATTAAAGGGCTTTTTTATTAAAGGGGGTGTTTTTGTCATTATCTCCACTTGCATGGTAAGCTCGAAAGTTAGTCTGTGTCTATCGCAATGATTCAGTTTAATGGCTATTACATCAAAATCTGATGCAATTCAAGTGGGAAATTAACAAGTAAAATAACAGACATACCGAAATACTTGCACATTTATAATATTAGTAGACATCTACATCTATCGATGTTTTACAAGTAGAGCGCTAAAGTGCATTATACGGCATAATGCTATTGCTAACTTCGGATGTTCCACCTATACCGCAACACTTCGCTCAATCGAGCATTTTGAAAAGTACTGCTTTGGCGTGATGCGCGCAATGATACCAACTCTAACAGAAAATATGAGAAGTGTTTTTTCTTCAAGGTGGCATTGATCATAATTTTATTTACATTATCGTTAGTAATATTTGTTTATATTTTATTTATATAATTATATATTAATTAGTTATATATTATTATATATCTATACCAATATTATAAAGGGGTAAAGTTTGTGAGTTTGTTACGTTGTAGAGGGTAATCCCCGGATCTACTGAACTGATTTAGATGAAATTTCCTAAGAAGATAATTTGAGACGCTGGGAAGGACATAAGATATATTTTTATCCCGGAAATCATCCCTTAAGACGGGGATGAAAGTTTGTAATGGGAAGCAAGCCAGGGACGAACCCGAGAGAAGCGAGGGTGAGTCGCTAGTTTATTATATAATTTATAATATCAAATTAAATTATAAGTATTTAATTTGTATTGGGGCATACACATTTCCCCCAGATAATAATAGTGTACAGTAAACAGGAAATTTGTCCTTTAAATATCTGTTCAACGTGAAAGGAATCTGACCGCGTATTTACACTATAATAATTTTCATTTACTGTCTAAGGAAATGAAATAAAAACCGACTTCAAACAAAAGCACTAAAAAGTAAAAAAAAAACAAAAAAAATACAGTCAAAAAAACAAATTTATACTAGAACTATTTTTACTACAATTTATTTGGCACCAGGACTGCCAAATCCATGTTACAGTTATTGTAATTTTAATGGTAGATAACAATCTGTATGTTAGTAAATTTTTTGACTTTCCGGTATGGAATCTATCATCTTCAATCGGCAGCAAGCCGTCCCTGCTGTTAAAAATCAATTATTGACTTGTGAAAGATAAAATGATTATTTAGTCTCGTAATAGTGTATGGCCAAACTCACATCAAAGTGTCCACTGTCTATAAAGTAGTTATCTAGAAGTCTGCCTTACGTTAATTCCAAAAACAGCTACTAGGAAAATCTTATCTCCTACTAAAGTTAATGAGTTATGCGTGTAATAAGTAAATCCATCACACATTATGCAGTGACCTTCGATCACTCATAAATAATAATATATAATTAATCATATAAAATAAGCCAATCAAGATTCAAGATAGTGGCGAATACGGCAAAACCCTCGGTTCGCGAATCAGACTTCCACTAAAAGATTTTTGTTGATGATTTTGGATATTGTTACCTTAAAGACTAAAACCATAATTTAATCCACCATATATTTACTAGTTATATTTTATTATTTACAATTGCATGTACTTTTGGTTTTTAAATAATAATTGTTGATAATATTCTGTACCTATTCTGAGAATCATGCTATGGCCCATGAATCAATCATTTGCTATTTGCTAAAATATTTTACCATAGGTTTATGTACCTTTACATTAATGTGTGAACAATTAAGCGTATTGCATGTCAATCCGTACATCCGTGTAGCTACTGTTTTGACCAGCCAATAGAAGCAAGGTATGCATCCCGTTGGGAAACCGAACCCACGTACGGCTCTTTACTAAGCCTACTGTGTAATATATCACATATTATACACGATTAATATTTATTTATATTTTTGTTGTTAAAACTAGACAGATTAAATAAATAGGTATCGATCTGCGTAGTTATATCAAAACTATCAATAATTTAAAGTTCTTTGTGTTAAGTACATACATGTTTTTTCATTATTGGTTAAAAATAGCATCGACGAGCTATTTTAGATAAGTCATTCTGTAATATCCGAAAAACTTTTTACTGTATTTTCGCAACTCTTGATATTTAATGTAGAAAAACATCATTTTAGATTACTAAAATGTCTCAGTAGATATAGTAGATTTATCATTTTAGACGTTTGTCTCAGTCGGGAACTGCATCAAACTGACAAAAATCGTACGAAATTTTATTCGCAGTGCGTAATAAGTACAATTTCGATCACGGAATATAATACGCGAGAATAAAAATCGCGCGGTGATATATCGCAGTGCGGACAGGGCCTTACCCCCCTATTTTATGTAAAGCTGAGTAGATAGATGACTACAATAATAACGACCAAGCGAAAGTTAAAACTAATAGCACTATTTTGTTATTTATATAATATAGACAAATATGAATATCGTAATACTTATTCAAATTCATCGTAAGTCCAAACCTACTTAATATGTCACAGTCACGGCCGTAGGTAAACAAAACGCGTCGTGTTCATTCATCGGGCACCGACTATATTCGTTGAATGAGTCGTCTTGCACGGCGGCTGGCTTCGACACATAACGTGCTTTGTTCACGGGTAGCAGCTGCATTCGAATCGCGAAACGGTCGTTTATACCTGAACAGGTAATAGAAGCAACAGGTCATTTCATCTGGCGAGGGGAGCGCCGCGATCGCGCCGCTCGACAGTTCGAATGGCTGACTCGATTCGAGTTAAGTTAGTCGCGTTCTGCCTTTCACGACGGTTGTGTGTCGAATCTCGCGCGCTAGTGCACAGCGAGACTTTCACGCGGCCGATAATATCGCGGTTTCGAGTTATGTGCGTGAACGCACGCTTTAATAACCCTTCGATCAGTCGTTCGTGACAGTGCCAATGTCTCCCAGTCTAGAAGGGATCATGTTCAATAGGAACGCGAACCTGTCAGCGCGACGGCCTTTACTTGCTGAACCCCAAAAGCCAGTGGTAATCCCACCACGGGCGCCGCCTCGTGACTATGGTCCGAATCGACCTTTGCCAGCACCTCGAAATTTACCAGCGAACTGCCAGTACGAATGTAAACCAGATCGTTGGAAGCCATCGAACGTCGAAATCGAAAAACGTTTGCAGGAGACGAGAGCTCGGGAGAAGGTCGGTTACTTTGAAGACAAAGTGGCCGTACCAGAGTTAAATTTGGACCGTAGGGAAGCGGAATTAGTGTTTAGATTCGACCCTCACGCGTCCGCTGAATATTTATCGAGTCAGTATCAAGCTCCTACCGTGCAGTATGCAAAGCCCCCGACGCCGGCAAACGGGTTTGCTAACCGTCTACCGGAGAGAGACGGCCCTTTTGTGTTCGGAGTCCATAGCCCTAGCCAGTTTCCTATCCCGCGTCGGGATGACGACGACTATGATTATTCGGAAGTGGCGGAGGAAAACGGCCGGCCTGTGATACGAGATGACGAGTCTGCGGACTTGAATTGTTGTGATAAAGTGAATGAGTGGGCAGTACGGGATAAGAAAAGCAGAAGAACCTTAAATCGAATGTTTCAAATCAAAGATAGACGGAAAGTGAAAGGTGGGAAGAAAGAGAAGATAAAGTGTGTGTTAGTTGGTGATGGAGCTGTTGGAAAGAGTTCTCTAATAGCTGCATACGCGCAGGACACGTTCCGGGAAGAGTATCAACCCACTGCATACGACACTTTCAATGGTAAGCATCGTCACGTGTTAAATAAATATTTACCTAATTCTATAATCATTATATTTAAACAAAACCCTGCGTCTTATCATAAATGCCCCTGATTTGATGAGATAATAACACTACAATAAGTAATTATTTTTTTCGAACGATAACAATTATTATTATCAATTTTAATCAGTTAGCGCCAAGAAAGAACTTTATTATTTTACTTTAAATGGAAAATGATATTGTCTAACAAGTATTTTATTATGACTTACGTTCAAAATATTATGAGTAATGAATTAAAATAAGGCATGTCAACTCAATCTACTTATAACGCTACGCGATTATTTACCTTCCGGTTAGATATGTCTATGTGAGATGTCTTGTCCTATTTTTTAGCTAGACTTGTTTGAGTCTTATAAACTGGTAACTACATGTTTACTGCAATCTCAACAAGGCTTCTTATTTAAACAAGTTTCTTATACACTTGGTTCTATTAACTAAAGAAACCTCAGAAAAACCAAGGAAGGCTCTTTTAATGCAATTATAACAAAAATATAAACTAAGACGTCAAACAATTCGCTGTTTTTGTTTTTTGTTGTATATTCTTACGTTTCGGTGATGTAAGAGCTTATTAATGTACTATACTAATACCTTATCAGCTTGTTACTTTCTGTAGGTCTTTGGTTTTTTAACAATCGTCAAGATATCATTGTATAGGTGCGTCACAATCGCGATAACATATCAGTCCACGAAATACTTGCAAAAATAAATATTACACTTCAATTTAGTACGTAGTAGTTTTCCGTAATTTCGCTTATTTTTTATCATAATAATGATAATTGTAAGTCAGTGGTTGCTCAGTGGTAACGAGTTCGTTTTCAAATGTAAGAGAGGCGAGTTCACCTCTGATCTTTTCATGAGTAAATAAATTATTTTCAACATGATCACAACTCAACTTATGTAAAGGAAAATATCGCAAAGAAAGAAGACGTTTGAGGTACGCAAACGCACTTCGTGATGGACTATGACCTAGAAACTCGTGCCCCGTGGTGGATCGTTAAAAAGACCCAATGACAATAGTATAAAACTTCGGAACTTTTTCTCAAATATGGTATTATTACAACTTTATTTATTCTGTTAATATATGGTTGAATTTTATAATTTTATTCTATAAACGTAACAAGATCGCATTTTTTTTGTCATGAAATGTATTAATTTTTTTTTTATAAAACATCTTATCAAATTCTGATCACGCGTTACTTCGAACATCGACTGAATATTAGTTTTTGAGAACTTAAAACCCTAGTTCGTGGTGGATAGATACATTTCTGCACGTAACAGGGGTCAAAGCACCTCTTTAGTATGGATCCTATTCACCCGAGACTAATTAATGTTACTGTCTCTCTCATATGATTATATGAATACAAAAGACCCCGGATACACGACAGGCCAACCATTGAATTGACTGCAAAATAGACGTTCCCAAGCAACATTATAATTGACACTTTCGTTTGATCATATTTAACCAATTTTAAACATACGGAGGAGGTTCTAAATTAAGATCGAAGTATACAAACTTTTTTATGGCCTTAATGACACATTTAGTTGAAAGGCACAGATCTAAACTGGAAATGTCAAAAACTTTAAGAAATAAATAATTATTTATTAGTGAAACCATTTATTTTTATTTACTTTTGTATACGTTCAATAAATTGTACCAAGTATATTATATAAATCATCTCGTTACCTTATGTGTCCTGTCAATGTCAGTAATGTTATCAGTTTCAAGAAGTGCATTTGTAAAGTATGTAATGTTTTAAAATAATATAGCAAGTAATGGAAAATACGTCTTGAAAAATCATACTATACGTACATAGAAATTGCAATGAAATATACCTTCACAATATCAATTTTACAATATTTATATAAATATTTTTGTTTCCTGTCGTATAATCGGATAACATTTTGTAAAATTACAAATTCAAAAAATCTCTTGAGTGCACTGCATTAATGCTTGATGAAAGGCAGTGGTAGCCCAGTGGTAACGCGCTCGCTTGAGAAACCGAGTGAAGCGGGTTCAAATCCCGGGTCTCGCACCTCTTGATATTTTCATGTGCGAATCATTTCTAACATGATTACCACTTGCCTTACGGTGAAGGAAAACATCGTGAGGAAACCTGCATGTCTGAGAGAACTTAGCAAGTTTTCTAAAGACATGTGAAGTCCGCCAACCCGCACTTGGCCAGCGTGGTGGACTATGGCCTGATTCCCCTCGTACTGAAGGGAGGCCCGTGCCCAGCAGTGGGACGATAAAAAGGGCTGAATACATACATACACCTATAGAATTATGTTAATTACCTACTAAAAGTAAAAATATTGGACTATATCTGTAAATGCACGAATAAAAGCCGATACTGTAATCGTAAAAATCCATAGCGCCATCAAAATATACAATTAGCTGCTCTATACACAGTTATCTTAAAAAAAAATTGTTTGAGTACGTCATAAAGGGCTTCTTTGTTTGTTTTATTAAATACACCGACTAGACAAATCTCCTGAGTACTTTTGTTTGAAGCCAGAACAGGTAATGCCCATAAGGCTTAAATAAAAGTGGCGCCTAACGACATTTGCCTGAAAAGACTTAACTTTCGCCATATACCTACAGGTAAACTAGCGTTTTGCTGCGGCTCCGCCCGCATAGTACATTAATCACCAGCATATCATATACTAAAACCTTCTCCGAAACACGCAGCATCTTATGGTATGAGTATTATTCCGATCGGTTCTGTAGTTATTGCAGTATAACCGAACAAAAAAAATCGGCTCTCCATTTATTATCTCCATACCAATATTGAATAAATATGTATGCATATTGCAGTATATAAAAAATATAGTTATATGACACTTGTAAAGCGTTAGTTTCAATTATCTACTAATTAGTTAACGATTAAATATTTTCATTATGTGGTCTTAAATGTAAACTATGAAGTGTGTCTAAATTATTCCATTATATTATAGCTGACAAAGTGTAGTTTACCTATTTTCTAGAAACCATTGAACACTGAAGGTGATGTGAAAGCCTAGAACAATGTACTTTCGCCGCTGTATTTGCATGCAAATGCTGCAGAACTCATGCTTCCTTTACACGAAAAGGCTATTGCAAATCAACCTTTTGTGTAATATTTCCTATGCGTTTCTTGTTTCTATGCATATATCTAAAAATAAATATATCTATAATAACTAATAAGATAAAAATGGCGGACAATAATTATTGCTCTTGTCATTGTAGATATCAATACGTGTGTAAGAGTCTTTATATTATCTCGAATCTCGATTACTTTCCGGTAAATCATACAATTCTTACAAAGACTTTTTTCGTATCTCGTGTCGATTCCTAATGATGAATGAATCAATAGTCGATACGTATATGTTTTGCCTCATGTTTGTTATTTAGTTATTTGAGTTTTATATCATAGACTTTTATATCAATAGCAAACTTTAGTAAACCGATTTATTATAGATAATACTAAAGATTAGTCATATCCTCAACAACCATTATGACACATGATTTCCTCGTGAAATAAAATAGTGTAAGTCCCTCATATAGATAAATGTATACAAACTGATCGAAAGTATGCTTGTTTAATATATTCAGTTAATTGAACAGAAATTTTTTCAACATTGTATTAATATAATTATTTTCTATGATTTATTTATTAAGGTAAACATGGTATGGTAAAGTGGATATTGCTATTTGTATAACCAAATTTGAAAATTTATGATCCTCCAAGTGTAGTATGATCATCATCTACGATATAAATATATAGAGATTATGTTGTACGTGTTATTTAATATTTCATAAATCGTATACATATTACGTAATACTGTGTAACTGTGGGCTATAATTACAAAAATAATTTATACAAATTCAAATTCAAAATATTTTATTCAGCATTAAGCAAATTATTAAAAAATTTTGCTGAACTTCATGAGTCTACTACCAGTTCGTACTAAGTATCCACTATCAAAAACGTCTAATGGTTGTTTCAATCGTTATAATATTCACTTTACGAAAAAACAACACTAGTTATATATGAAATTAAGAAACTTGTAATTAGACCTCGTTTTAAAATAAAATAGCTGGTCTGCTCTACTTTTTGAAGGTAAAACGTTACAATATGTCTTGAAATACAAGTCTATTGTGAGCACGCAACGCATCTTTTGTTTAGAAAAGCAGAGGTAGCTGCTGCTTTTAATCTCAACTATATTTAAAACCACTAACTCTTTCTCATGAACCGCGGGAACTACGTTAACACTAGCTTTTGTGAATTGGATATTATAAGAATACAATGTGTATATATAACATTTGTGGTTATTATTGTAGTTATTCAATGCAGTACTGAAGTATTTTTCATTGTTTTTTTTTATGTATTTACTTTTTGGGTTTTTTAGTACCTACTTCCAGAAGAATTTAAAATCGTATAATGATTGTGTAAAATAGTTTTTATTCTGTATTTTAGACTTCAATGGTGATCCCAAATGAACGAGAAAAAATACCCGGAAACACCTAATTAAGTAATTACTTTTAAACTTTAAAGTGATTTTCATTTTTAACTTTATAGTAATTACTAGCAGAACCCGCGGCTTTGGTCGCACTAATATTACAAAAAATCCTTAATAAAGTAGTTTCATATAAACTTTCATCCCCTATTTTACCCCCACAGAGGGTGAATTTCAAAAAATGCTAAATTAATTTAATTTTATTAAAAAGCATTAATACCAAGTTTCAAGTAAGTAATTCTGATCATAAATATTTTTTGGATTGTATTATAACGTGTTTTCCGTGGGAAATATATAATCTTCCGCGGTAAAAAGTATCCTATATGTTGACCCGGATAATCAGCTATCACCATACCAAATTTCATCAAAATCTCTCACAAGAACAACAAACAGACAGACAAAAAGAAAATTCTAAAAACTATAGATTTGTCCTCTGTATTGATACTAATGTTTATTTCAATAAG